GCCAGGTCCCTTATTGGGATAGCGTAGTATTGCCTCCAATACATCGTCAGGGCGTATGGTGGAAGTGACATCAGGAGAGGGTTCGGTATCCGGTGGAACCACGTACGGGTTTGTAGAGTTGAATAGGGCCTCAAAGTAGCCAGCGAGGGTAGCGCCTGTGTCATCGGTACCCGGTATGCAGGGTTGGCGCGGAGACCGTCGTTGGTACGCAAGCAGGGGTGGTAGGTCGATGATACGCATGTTCAGTACCAGTTGAGCCGCCAGCATAGAGGTAGTCCAAGTGCCACGTATTACGCAGAGTAGTCTCAATCGTTTTCATACGTAGTCCGTGATTTGTAGATGCGTGGCCATACTTCCGGGCTTTGAAGTTGAAATCTCCCCACACGACATCTGGTTGGAAACCGCCAATCTCGGGGGGATTCATGTATCGCCTGACGTCTTCTTCAGTAAGCGATTTGAGTGGAAAGTAGAACACGGCCATATGAACGCCAAAGCACACAAAGAACACCGCGTACGGTGAAGAGTGTACAAGTTGAAAATTCGATGGGTGGTGTTTGGAAAAGATACCAATACCACAGTGTGAAGGGTGTAAGATATTATGCCGTGTAGTGTGATGTAGTATATGATAGCGTGTGTTCGAGCGTATATGATTAAGAAATGTGGTGTTATGCCAGGTTTCAACCACACACATAACATCAACCTGACTTAAAATCGATATAACGTTCAAACACTTATCTGTATGTGCTGCGTTGTCCATGTTGAGTCCTTGTGGGTTGAAGAGCGTCATCCTCATTGGTCCTAACATTGTTCATCATCGGTCAATACTACTGGGCTTTCCTCTTTGACAATGTCAGCCATTTCTATATCATTGCCTTTCGTCGAAGAATCCGTCGTGGAAAGCTGAGGCTGCGTATTGCTATCCATCGTGTCGGATGATTGTGTCGGGGAGACCGTTAGTATATGAAGTCGTCCGGGTTCCGCACGCGCTAATTCTTTAGCGTTTACCGGGATTCGCGGGTTAAGTGAGAAGAGGTTTGCATCATACTTTGCTTGGTAAGCCTTCTGGAGACGGTCCGCGGTAGATTGGAAGATGTCTGCGTTAATGGAGTTGACAAGTGGGCTCAGTAGTGCATCCATGCTGCGGGCAAGAATTTTTGGCGCTCGTTCATGTGTGCAGTGGGCCTCCCGCTTGGTGCGGAGATAGTGAATTAAAGCTGCTTTCGTAGCGTCGGGATGTTATTGGGAGCGGGGGTCGACGTAAGTGCTGCATGTCGTTTCACCTGGGCGACAGAGTCGCTAGGAACACAAAGGCGGATGAAACTGGTGGAGCTTCCGCGGCGATTTGGTTGAGATACCGATTTAGACGGAATATACCAGAGAAAGTGGTGGCGATTGAGGGCTGGTTGGGCATGCCAGTATTTTTCAAATACTGATTGGGATAGAAATATTCATCAGTGCGATAGTTAAGCAATTTGAACAGGAACGTGTTGGTTGACTCCCCCATATTTATTTTTCACGACGGACAATTGACGCACATTTCCGTCTCAGAAACGTAAATCTCGGTGACCCGCATGTCACCAGTGTAAAACTGACTACCCAATTTCAAAAACCCACAGACCCCACCAATAAGTCACATACTAAACCTGGAATGTAGATTTTATTTTATTTCAAAATAAAAAAATCCAGTTGGAACCCACAGCCACAAATGTTGGGCCAGGCCAACCCCCCAACTAAGACGTTCATCACTCAGGACTCCTTGCCCAATGACCAATGGAAATTGGACTTCCAAAAATCTATCACAGACCTCTCTGCCCAGGTCAATACTCTACAGGCCAATCTCAAACAAAAGCCGGAAGGTGTTCTGAGAGTGTCTCAGGAGTCAGGACCGGCTCTACCAAACCCGAACAATGATGGGCCCATTTCCAAGAAGCCTTTAGCTGACGCCCAATGGAAATCAACCATGCATCAAATGCTCTCTAAACGAACAACCTCGAATCCGAACTCCGGGACCTAAAATCCAAACCTGTGCACCTCTAAATGAAGGCACACCCCACACCATCCGAATCGGCTCCACAAGCCCGCCTGCCCCGTCAGCAAAAAGACCGCGACCAAAAGCACCCAATAGCAGCAGTGAGCCTCCCAGCTACTGCTCAAAAGTGGACAAACCCGCAAAACCGAGCCCCAAAAAACGTCCGACCACACCAGCTTCTCAACCCCTACTGCAGCCGCCAGTACCCACACACCTTTTGACGAAAGTGATGGGCCGCCCGATGCCGGACAAAATTCTCCACGAAATGGATGACGTAACTCCGGTATGGCTCTTCTTTTGGGCAATTTTTCCAAACGGCAAGCATCCATCCCAATCAGAATTTGAAAATTACTGGCACGCCCAACCGCTCCTCAATCGCCATCACTTCCTTTGGTATCTCCCGTCCAACCCGATTTCGCAACTAAATCGCCACGGGAGTTCCACCAGTTTCGTCCGCCTTTGTGTTCCTAGTGACGCTGTTGCCCAGGTGAAACGACATGCAACACTTATGTGGAAATGGCAGTTTGATGAAACTATGGACCCACGCTCCAAACATTATTCAGACTCTACGAAAGCAGCTTTAATCCACTATCTTCGTACCAAGCGGGAGGCTCGCTGCACACATGAACGAGTGCCAAAAGTTATTGCCCGCAGCATGGATGCTCTATTGAGCCCCCTTGTCAACTCCACTTGTAACTTATCTCTTTTGAAATAAATAATATTATCCTCCCTATCATGGCACAAAGGCGGATTGTTGTGTGTTCACGGCAATGGGTAAAGCTATCATGAGATGATTGGTCCCGATTCGTGATGGGAAGTTCTCCCCTTATAAGTCGATATTAGTATTGATGGCGAGTCTTGCCTGCTATCTCCTTAGTTGTGAGACGCTGAGTGATATTGTGACGGATCTGGTCGTAGAGCTTACCGAGTTCTTTGTGCTTAGGTATGCACCCGCCCTTTGACTCTAGATAAGCGTAAATACTGAACGGGAATTTGTCCGGAGGTCTGTTACGGATCCAAGAGGATCTCGTAAGTAGGGCGAAAGGGTTTGTACTGTTGATCGAGTCAAGGTGTAGTCCCAGACAGCCACCAAAGTACTCCGCAAATTGGCGCGCTGGAAGTAAACGGCAGAAGCAAAGAAGCCGTATGCGCTGGTACGGGAGTTTTGGAAATATAGTGCCTGTTATTATGGCTGCTGCTTAAATTAATTCTGAGTTATATCGCTCGGACAGCAGCTTTAACGCGGCATACTAAATAGATAGAGTGCAATGATGTTTAGACCACAGGTGGCCGTTGAAAGAATGAATGTCTTAAATATTTCCAACCGATTTCGCGGATGGCTCAAGCTGAATCCATGAAACTCATACGCCAGGAAGGACACTATAGCCTGGAGTAATGCTGCCACGAGGTTGTTTATGTGTTTTACAAAGTCGAATACCGGCTATGCCCTGGAACAATTGATACCTAAGTATTTGTCAGGCCCCGGGCATATGTCAGAGAGTTCCGCCGCCATGGGCATGGGAGGGACGAGTAGGCGCCTGTTGAGAGCGTTCGCATTTGGGAAGCCTACTAGCGTTAGCGTGCTGAGATGCCCTTTGATATGCAGAAGAACCCCTTGTTCTAGACCGGATTGACGATCCTATTCATCGATCGCGTTTAGGAAGGGTTGCAGCAGAACAGACTGCGGAGCCTGGATGCGTTTGCCATCTACAAAGAGGTAGAAGCAAAGAAGTTTTGGCCGGAATTGCGCAAGCGTAATGGCTATGTGTACAGACAAACAAACCTTGGAGCATGCCATTCGTTCTATGAAATAGAGGTGAAAGCTTTCCACGATACGCCACCCGTGTGGAGACATTCTCGAAAAATGCACGGAGACAATCGATTCAGATTTCTGGCATTCCAGTGTGGCGCAACAGCTGAAGGACCACTTTATCGTATGCTTTAGTGGTATCAAAATACACATTGTCATTTCAGGCATCGCGGCTAGAGCATGAGTATGACAAGAGTAGCGTGATTAAGAATTCAGCTTGAGTTGCATGGGCGGTTGATCCAGGGTAATTTGTTATCAGCTGTAGGAAGCACTTCTCAAAAAGGCGCTGAGCAATCTGCGTTAAGGCCATCGGTCGGAAAACGGCAGTAGATACAATATCCGTGCCTGCTATCTTCAGATGGCCTGTCAAGAGAGTATAGTTAAGAGCTTTAGGGAAGGTACCAACCATTGTAATAGCCGGGCCTCCACATTAGACTCTATGTTATAAACGTACTCTTAAGCAGTACGTAAACTAGAAACGTACTCTTAATAGTGCGAGGAACTTAAGTTTCCTAAAATTGTTTTTAACGGTTTTCACTAATTAAATACCTTTTCCATTTTACATATCAGATATTTGGATAAGGCCATTAAAAGGCCCGATTAAAATGCTAAAGATATGATTTGGACTAGAAAAATGTTAACTTCCAAATCTATTTATAACTGAATACTTCGGTAGCGAGATGGCTCAACCGAATATAGGTTTCTAGGGACTATTAGCGTTACCTAGTTTAACCTCCGTTCAGCCAACCAGATGTGCCAGTCTGAGGAAGGCTAGTCGGTAATTCTTGATAAGTGGCTAGTTGTTGGTTAAGATATTAACTAGAGACATCAAGAGTATTTTTCTTTCTTTTTTACTTTTTTTCTAAAGATAGGATTTTATGAGTCTCTCGGATTCGCCCGAAAAAACATACCATAGTTTCTAAATAGAGCGACAACAAAACACTAAATAAAATCCCTTCGGCGAAAACAGTACTGAGAGGATTATATATAGGCAATGTCTCAGCCTCACAATCCCTCAGAGTATTGCTGTTTTCACGAGGCAAACCTAACTTTACTAAAAGACTAATTACGTTTATTTTACTTTAATTTCATTTGAGCTTTAGAAGACTTTATTACGTTTAACTGCTCTAAGACTTTAATATCGCCTTAAGAGACCGAAATTTACACCATTAAGAGAGCCGAGAACGCCTCGGTCAAGATGCTAATAAGTGGACTGTCAGAGTCAGGGCGCGGGGTTTCAGTGGATCGTTCTAGTGTGACTTTAAGAAGAAGGATATGGATACCATCTGGACCAGGACCCTTGTTTGGATAGCGCAGCATTGCCTCCAAAACAATCTCCGAGTGAATAACTGCATTTGATGGAGGTGTTGGTGCTGTGTCCGGGAGAATGACGTGTGAATTAGTTGAGTTGAAGGAATCTTGGTAGTGATCCTTCAGTACAGCGCACGAATCCTGGACGCCCTGTATACAAGGCTGACGCGGTGATCAACGTTGATGTGCGATATTCTTGTACATCCGGATGTTGTGCTGGGCAACATTGTACCCACGTGTCATAGTAGTGATATCCCGAAATGGCAGGGTTCGCTACGTTTCACCAATTCGATCGAGTATGCGCTCCAATCCGTTTGACGGTCCATGTATTGTCAGGTATGACCGTAACAGATGTTGATGCTTGCTCACGGAGCTCAGCTTGAAACAACAGGGTGCGGGTCTTGTCGTGTAAACGATTCAGTCGGTGGCAACACCGGTTGTAGCCGTGGGATAGAAGACTCTGGTGCTAGGGGGGTGATTGAGACGGAGACGCTCGCCGAAGACGGATTATTGGTTTATTTAGGACCACCTGAAGATCGAGACCAAATTTGTGGTCCTCGTAGATACCATGATCCGCAAAAAGGTATGTTTGAAAAGAGGCTACAGTTGTTCGCCTGTAGAACGCGTGCCCTGTACCGGTAGATCCTTCCGTATGAAGGTACTGTAGGCGCCAGGCACTGATAATAGTGGTCTCTACCGTCTTTTTGCGGGGCCCATTGATCGTGGATGTGTGACCATACTGTCTAGCTTTGAAATTGAAATCACCCCAAACGACATCTGGTTGGAAGTTGCCAGTGTGCACTTCTGCCTCTGTTAAGTTGAATGGGAGGTAGAATACAGCCACTCGAATACCAAAGCAGGAGAAGAAAACCGCATATGGTGATAAATGGATGAGGTGGTACTTCGATGGGTGATGCTTGGAAAATATTACAATACCACAGTGTGAAGAATGTACGGTCTATGTAGGATATCATACTTCGTGGAAGAACGTACATGATTTAGTAGAGTCACATGATGCCAGGTTTCAACCACACACATGACATCAACCTGATCCAAAATCGATATAACATTCAAACACTAATCTGATTACATCAGAGTATCTATATTGAGACCTCGTGGATTAAGAAGCGTCATCCGCATAGGCCCTAACATTGTTCGTCCTCTGACAAGTACATAACGGTCCAAGAGTCGGGAAACCGCTGATGGGGCAGTTGGGTTGAGTGCGGAGTCCTGGGTTGTGGGGTTGTCACGCTTTGATTGAAGCACCCTCTCAACAAGTTCTATATTGTTTATTTCCATGTCGATATTTGCATCACGTGCTTCCAGTTGATCTGCCTTCTCCTGGTGACGATCCAAATAGAGTGGGAGCACCACACTTCTTCGAAGGTATAGCGTGAGGGAGGCTTGCCATTTGGAAATACTGCTTTGAAAAAGAGCCCGACAGGAGTTATATCCGTCAATTGCCTAGAGGATTTTCCGGCAGCTGGCGACCCGTCATTTGTGAGACAAGAGCTTCAGAAACTGCTGGGTGGGCTGTTACCTTTGGTACTGGAGGGGTTGGTCGTGTTTTGGGAGTCGGTTTTGTGGATTTAGCTACTTTGGAATCGTAGCTGGCAACTTCAATGTTACGCTGCTCATTGGTGCGCAAGCGTTTTGCCGGTGTGGTTATCGCAGTACCATCATTTGTTGGTTCTTGAAGTGAGCTCACACACCAAATTTAAATGCATTAGTGCGGTTGCTGTTTGGCGCTGTACTGAGGCGGGATTCATGGTCCACGATTTTTTCTTGTAAGGTTTTTACTAGGTCGTGGAGCGTCGCGATAGACTTGAGCATATTTGCCCAGTCCTCGGGTAAAGGGAATTGTGTGCCAGGCACATTGGTGGGGGCTGATGTATTCTGCATCGACATTTCGCCGGGCAAACTAGAAGCCCCTGAAAATAAATTCGGGGGGCGGAGCGAGGTTCGGATTTTTTTTCTTCTTCTTATCTTTTTATTCCGAAATTAGACTTTTAGAACAGATCTTCAGCACTATACTGGTGACCTCGGGGTAACTGAAAAGACATTTCGGAATTCAAAATTATGTCAAAATGTCCGTGGTGAGAAAAGAAAAAGAGGGCAGTAATGATAGTACCTAGTCGAATGTTCAATCGGAGGTCGCTGATGTGAGACCAGCGAGGGCTACCATAAACACGCTCGTTCGTATAATCGACTTTTGTGAAGCAGTTGACGAGACCAGCTTCGAGCCTGCGAATCGTGGTAGTTGAGTGTTAGATGCAGATGCACAGACGTCAATTGTTGGATTGTATGCGAGAAATGTCATTTGCTCGCAGCCAGTCACCTGTGTTCAACATCCATGCTTCCATTGTGACCATGACAGGCGGCTGGTGTGTCAAGGTGATTCGATCATTTGCTACCATACGCAATGTAGGCTCTCGGTTGGTAGCCATTATTGCGGCGGTATTCATCATAAGTCTTCGTGGTAGTCTGAGGAACAGCAACAGGGGTAGGATGTGAGGGAATAATAGGAGAGGCATCAGGATCTGTGCTAGTAGATACATTAGGGTTTGTTCTAGTAGAGAGCAGAAGTGGGTCCGTGCCAGTTGGGGGCCAGATTGATTCCGCGCCAGAAGAGGGCAGGGAGGGAACAGAGATAGATTTAGGGACGCGTGTGTTGGTTGGTATCCACAGGAATATGACGATGGCAACCGGGTTTTGCTTGAGTTGGAGGCTACCGAGGATGCAATGGATGTGAATGATGAAGCTCGGTAAAGCGTCACCGAAAGGTATCGTATGATACGTGATAACCACCATTGAGGTGAGGACTACGTTTTGAGCGGGTGCCGTAAGAGATTTCGCATGTTAGTTGCTTAGGAAGAAGGCTGAGTTTGTGTCTATGGTCTTGTAGACGGATCTGATATGTCAGTAGCTGTCGAAGGAAAGCATCAAGACGTGTGAGCCCTAGGCCCAACAGAATACCTCATCCTCGTATGATCTTCTGCCAACTAGTGGGCAAGTTCTTCGAGAGAAATCAGTTAACGGTAGCGCCCTCGTCGATGAGCATGTTGTAGAGTATAGAGAGTAGCTGAAAGGTACGACTAAAAAGATAAGATAGACCTCTTCTCAAGTGCGGTTATCTCAGCTAGGAAAAGTCCCTAGTCTGAGAGAACCGAACTGAGTCTTTATTTGTTGTTTTTTTTCTAATTCACTAGACTCGGGGTTCTACTTCAGTGTTTCTCTCGCACGCGGAGTCCTGGTTTAGATTACCGGTTCTACCGCTAATATTTCTGATGACTTTAATATCAAGAATATTTGAATTCCAATTTCAAAACTCAACAATTGATCATTCTGAGGTTTTGGGTTTTGGATTGGCTTTTTGATAATCTGGTCTCTAGATGCTACAATGTTATCACCTTGGTGTTGTTTAGTGTGATCAACAGTGATATTAGTACTAGAGGGATAACAGTTTTTGTTTTTAATTGATCGGCGGCCGCAGCATACATTATTGTGTCTCATTTTACTACAGATAGTGCGTTGGATTAGTGTTGTCGTGGTGTTTTGCGCCGCACATTGGACATTTGGAAGAATGATGCGTGGTTTTCCAACAGACGAAACATGTCTGTATACGTTCAGGTTGGCGATTAACTACAGGGTGGTGTGCAGTGGCGCGATATGCCCGCTGTGTGGCAGTCAGGTGGTCTGAATTCGTAGAGTACCAATCATAAATGGTAATGAAGGTAAAGGTAGCGCGAAGACCCATATATCTCGTCTTCCTGTGAGAGACCAGTTAAATAACAATCATTTTAAAAGTTACTAGAAAAGTTGAGACCCTGAATTTCGGTGTCGGTCTGGAGCATTTTACATTTGAAGCTTTTTACATCGCCAAGGCCTGCCTGGAATTCATGGACGTAGGCCATATTGATGGGCAGAGAGACTTTCACGGACTGTGGAAGTATAATTGTCCAATAATATCATAGATCGTCCATAGGTCCTTCGTCCTTGTTTCTTTGCTAATAGTTTTACTTAAATTGTAAGATGGGGACCAAATCAGAAAATTGCGGGTGGGTTAAAGTTACTAGAAAAGCTTAGACCCTGAATTTCGGTGTCGGTCTGGAGCATTATACATTTGAAGCTTTTTACATCAACAAGGCCTGCTTGGAATTCATGGACGTAGGCCATATTGATGGGCAGAGAGACTTTCACGGACTGTGGAAGTAGAATTGTCCAATAATATCATACATCGTCCATAGGTCCTTCGTCCTTGTTTCTTTGCTAATAGTTTTACTTAAATTGTAAGATGGGGACCAAATCAGAAAATTGCGGGTGGCGCGGTAGGATCTAAGAGTCTTCTTGGCATTTCGAAACTC